TCGATTTGCCCACTGGAGGTTGACGTGTGCTTCTCTGATGAGCAAAACATTGACGCTCCTCTTTATCTAGAACAGGAGTACTCTTTCTTTGCGATGACCCACAGATTACTTATTTATTTATTTAGAATAATTTTAGCCCACTTTTCTCCTTAAAAAAGGACCCAAGGTGGCTTACATAATGTTTCTGATGAGGAACAAAGAAGGCTGAGTTGCTTTCTGCAAGAATCCCGTCTTCCTCCAGGAGACTCTAGGTTATGTGATGGAAGAGAGCAACATTTGGGACGTCCCTGGTGAATCTTCACTTACTCACAACCTGTATATTTGTAATCAAAATACAAAGAGAGTAAACTGTAAAGAGGTTAAACCCCAAATTAAGCACCTCGTTTGACCTTTATCTCTATCCCTGACTCTGGAGTTCAGTGCTAGAAAGGATGCCTGTTCCTCTGTGCACATTGATATGCCATAAGGGCATCATCTCAGGACCCTTTTGTGAGTTTCCTCATTTATTTATTTATTTATTTATTTTATATCCCGCCTATCTGGTTGGTTAAGACCACTCTAGGCGCTAGAGAGCAGAGCAACAAGATAAGATATTGCAGAGAGCAGCAACAATAAGATATTGTTCTGGAAGGCGGTGCATGACTTCCTCATAAAATACTGGGTTTGTAATCTGAAACTACAACAATATGGTACGATCATGGGAGTGGCAGACAACTTTTCAGGCACAGAACGTTTTTTAAAAATGGGTTGTGTGTGGAAAACATGGCTTCGGTGTGCTTTTGTCTGATCAATCCCATTTGACTTACAGCAATCCTGCAGTTAGTAAGGCTGTCCTGGTGGGGAGTCATAGTTTTCTCCTTCAAAGCCCTGTGCAACTTGTGAGTGTGCCAAGCGAACACCTCTTCCATCCTCTACCTCGTCATGCCTTAAGATGGCAGCTCAAACCCTTCTAGGAATGCCCTCTCTTATTTCAAGTGAGGAGGATGACAAGTGGCAAGTGGGCTTTGATTTGGTCCTTTGATTTGGGTGGGGATTCAAACCCTGGTCTCCAGAATCCTAGTCCATCACTCTATTCACTACTATACCACACTGGGTATCCATCACAGGGTTTTTCTTCCTGATGTCTGTAATATAGATTATTTTCTTTGCCTCTTCTCTGACAAAATTTACTCCCCTTATTATATGGATTAATACACACCCCTGACCTGTTTTGTGATTTTTATACTGACACTGAATTTAAGTTTGATATTTTCTTATATTCTTGCACCTGTGTTTTGATTTTTGTCTATTAAATAAATAAATAAATAAATAAACTTGTTTGTTTGTTTGTTTGTTTGTTTGTTTGTTTATTCAGTTTATATGCCGCCCACACTACCCAGAGGTCTCTGGGCGGCTTACAATAATTAAAATTCAATACAGTAAAAGATAAAATAATTAAAATACAATTAAAATACAATTAAAATTGCCATCAGACAAATAAATAAATAAATAAATAAATAAACAAATAAATAAATAAATAAATAAATAAATAAATGACTATTAATATAGTCTAGTTCCCAAGGTGTTTCCCTTTTAAAAGAGATATTCTCAAGCCAGATCTCAGCTTCGGCCTTGTTGCAGAAGAAAACGCTTTGTCCAGACTTCTGAAGAAAGTCAGAGGAATCTGCATAAATCAGTTGTGATAGGCAGTGGGAAATCTTGTCAAGGAATCCGGGGCTTGCATAGTGATTTTTGAAGCTTTATTATCAACAAGGGTGGAGGGTGGGGTCTCACTTAACTGGGTCTTATTTTGGGGGTAGGGCTTATATTTCAAGCACCCTGAAAAATCATACTAGGGCTTATTTTTAGTTTAGGTCTTATTTTCAGGGAAACAGGGTAAATATTTTCTGACAATTTATAGAGCTCATTACTACACTGACAAAATTCAGTTGGTGAAAAATGTAAACTGAAAGAAATATAAGCATAGGGAGGGAAAATGACATACACACACCATCTTTCTTTATTCCTATCAGAGCCATGCACAGTTTAAAATTATGGACGTATATGAAATATAGGTATAACTGAAAACAAATTAAAATGTTGAGACAATTGCACTATTTTTGACCAAAAGTGGGATTGGGGGCCTAAAGGAAAGCACTGATTTGAGTATAGTAATCCTCCTTACAGCAGGCGCTGGCATGAAGAAAACTCGCCCTGGAAAGGGGCGATGCAGCTTCTGCCAGTCAAACCCATGCACACACACCCTCTCCTCCCGCCAGCTGGGTGACAGGATCAGACCTTCCCGGTCCTAGAGAGGCAGGAAACGTGGTGCACAACTTGGAGCGGGGAGACAATAGCCAGCCCAGCCCCCCCCCTTTGCCTCTTCCAGGAGGGGAGGAGATGCGTTTCCTGGTAAGGAGATAGAGGCACACTTAGAGGGCAAGAAGGTAAAAGAGGTAAAGGGGCATCGGGACGAGGGTAGAAGGGAAAAAGAGGTAAAATTAGCATATTTTGGGGGGGAGATCTTTTCCCCGACCTACCCTTTCGAATCATTATTTGGGGCGCGGGGTGGGGTGGGAAAACGATCCATGCAATCCTGGGTCCAAAGTGGTGCTCAGCTCCTTGATTTCTGCTGCACGATCCGCATTGAGCCAAGCCCCCGTTTTTGTGGGGTTCGGATTGAAGTGGTTGGGGGAGCAAGAGAGGTTGAAGAGGGGGAAATCGGTGCTTAGTAGGAGGCTTTGTTTTGGATTGCGGTTCCGATCCTAAGAAGGTTTTTTATGGGCTTCAGATTAGGATGAGGAAGAAAGTGTAGAAATGTATCCTTGGCATGGCTTGGTTTGTGGGGGTCGGGGGTGGAGAAGGACGCAGGCGGTCTTTCCTCTTAACGAACCAAGAAGAGTTATTTTTCTCTGTATACTAGTAGTAGGACAGGCAGTAGATTAGGGGTCTGCTGGTAAATGTCTAGGGAATTCGCACTCGATCATCAAGAGTGATTGATTCCATCATGGTTTAATAAAGTCAGTGACAAGAAAGTCTGTTGGTTCCCAAACCAGGCTTTGGAAATCAAGAAAGTCCTTGGAAGGGACTCCAGAGAATATCCTTCATTAGGACCCTCTAAAAAATTTACAAAATGTGCCTTAAACTGTGTGTCGTTTCAATTGCACAATCGTCCTACAACCACCCTTAAAATCTTAAGAATTACCCTGGTGAGGAGGAAACAGCCTTGAGGCTGTGCATGTAAAAATCATAACAATCATTCTTCTTGTTGCCTAGATATTCCGTCTTACTTCCAGTGGCTTCAAGGCAGAGTATGTGGCTATTCTCCATTTCACTTTAGCTTTCCAGCAACACTACGAAGTAACTTAGTCTGAGAGAGTATGGCGTTCACATTTGAACCCAGATCTCCTGAATCCTAGTCCAAAAGTTTTAAGTAGGAACTTGGGTTGCTTTTATTTGCCTTCTAAAGCTGGAGAGATTGCTCCCCAGTTTGATCTTACTGCTCCTCAGGTATAGTGAAATTCTGCAGTACTTATCCTGGGAGCCTTTATCTGGATTCCTCTGCTGTAAAAGTAAACATATACAGTGGTGCCTTGCATAGAGACGTTAATCCGTGCAGCAAAAATCGCTGCAAAGCGATTTTGTCACTATGCGGTTTAAAAAAGCCCATAGGAATGCATTGAAACCCCTTCAATGCGTTCCTATGGGCTAAAAACTCACCTTTAAGCGAAGATCCTCCATATGGCGGCCATTTCCACTGCCCGGTAAGCGAGGAATCCGTCCCTAAACACAGCGGGCGGCCATTTTTTTTACCCGGTGGCCATTTTGGAACTGCCGATCAGCTGTTGGAAAATCATCGCTATGCAATGATCGGTAAGTGAAACAGCGAACCGATCATCGCAAAGCGATTTTTCCCCATATCACTTTTGCGATCGCAAAAACTTAATCGCTATGCGGTTTCATCGCTAAACGGAGCGCCCGTTAAGCGAGGCACCACTGTAATGGCTGGGGAGCTCAGTGGGTTAAGTATCTCACTGGGGCGCCAGAGGTTGGGAGCAAAGTTCCCCACTGTGACTCCTTAGCAAGGGCTGGACTTGTTGATCCATAGCGGCCCTTCTAGCTCCGCAGTTCTAAGATTATTATAAAAGCCACCAGCTCGTAGCTTTTCCATCTTTTGCAGGGTTAGCAGCCCAGTGTTGCTGAGACAGTGGGTTCTTCTCTGGTCATGCAAACTTTGTTTCTGCCAAGCCTTAGAAGAAGAGCTTGGGAAAGTTCCTCTTTTTTTGGACTACAGCTTCCAGAGTCCCTGAGGTGGCATGACCCACAGAATTTACACTATACTGGCTGTAGAATATATATGACATGAGGTCCTCATAGTCCTGCTGAGACTTAACTTGAGCAATTCATAGAACAGCCTTGCAAAAGGAGCAAGTATTATAAGTTCCTGCCAACCTAGCAGTTCGAAAGCATGCAAATGCGAGTAGATAAATAGGTACCACCTCGGTGGGAAGGTCACGGCATTCCGTGTTTAGTCACGCTGGCCACGTGACCACGGAAACTGTCTTCGGACAAAACGCTGGCTCTATGGCTTGGAAATGGGGATGAGCACTGCCCCCTAGAGTTGGACACGACTGGACTAAATGTCAAGGGGAACCCTCTCTCTCTTTGTGTGTCTCCCTCTCCCTCTCTCTCACATACACACAGATATGCACACAAATGTACATGCACACACTGGCTTGCATGACACGATGGAAGGGAGTTGTCCACCTCTCGTTTCAGCCCAGAAATCAATGAGTGTGGAGTAGGAGGTTTGCTCTGAGCTGTAGCAAATAAAAAAAATGTGTTCCTTCGCCAAGCCCTGGGAAGGATGAAAAATCTGATGTGCTGAGGCTAAGAAGGTGCCTTTGGTTGTCCAGCAGTAGAAGGGTTTGAAATCAGATGAGGAGCTTCTGTGGGCCACATCTGGCCTAGAGTCTGGAGACAGCCTCCTTTATGCCTCCTTTGTCTTCCTCACAGGCAGTGCAGTGGCATTAGAGCAGCACCCGTCTGGATGGTCTCATCTTCCCTTTCGAGTGGAAAGCATAACCATGAAGACACCTCAGGTAAAGGAGGGATCAAAAGAGAGTTACGGATGGGCTCCCTTTCTTGAAGGACCATTTCTCAGTCTCCATATCTCAGCCCCCTCGGATGTGGTTGTTTTTGATCTTATCCTCATCTCATCTTCTTCATGATCAGTAGCAAGAATACAATTTATTGATATATTTTTTCCAAAGAGAGAATCAAAAGAGTCATATGCTAATGAGAAACAAAAATTTAAAACAGAAAATATTGCAGCACATCTGTCCTGAAAAATCATACCTGCCACTGATCATCTGACATAACGCTGATACTTTTTAGAAAATCTACCATTGAAAAGAGGCCAAATAAATATTTGTAATCTTTAAGGTGGTAAAATACTTTTTGTTTTTGGTTCAGTAGATTGCTATGGCTACATACAGTCAGCACACACACACACATACACACATGTATATATGTATATATAAATACATATTTTCCTTTCTTTTGACAAATCATATTGATCAGTAAAGCTGTAAAATCTATGTTTCTCACATGACATCCTGAATGCTATCCAATAAAATCAAATAAAAACCACACATTAGAAGATGACTCCTTTTGAATAGAGAATTTTTCCTTTTAGACAGTGACATCCTTCAAGGAGGTGGCTGTGTATTTTACTACGGAGGAGTGGGACCACCTAGATCCCGGCCAAAGAGTTTTGTACAAGGACGTCATGCTGGAGAACTACAGGAATGTGACCTTCCTGGGTGAGTAGACTTGACTTTCTATTTACTTAATAGGTAACAAAGAGTTGAATATTTATGCCTCGCTACAGTACTTTCTTTTGTCCCCTCTCTTGGAGGCATGCCTTAATGTAGTGAAGGGGTCTGAGTGTCTTGGGGAGCCAAGAGGAACATCTTTAGGGATCCAGATGCCATTACAAGCCTGGACTCCTAGCAGGGTCAACCAAAGTGGAATGACACCAGGCTAAGATGCATTCACCTTCTTCTGGGGCAATGGTCACATCAACAGAGAAAATCCTGGAGGGTTGTTACTGGGCAGCCGCAGTAGTGGAACAGGACATTCTCTGTTGTACTTTGGGCAGAAGGCTCTCTGGAAAATTATGATAATGCTAGGAAAGTTTGAAGGCAGACACTTGATTTTGCAAGAGCTGGGCAGGACTGTTAGTGATAGGATATGCTGGAGGTCTCTTATTCATAAGCCCTTCATTTCTCTCCATGACAGGCAAAATAATGGCAACACAGGAAGGTTCTGGGTCATCTCCACTTGGCAATGGAAGGGAGAGAAGTGCCCTGCAGCTGTCCAAGGTAAAGGAAGAACCTTTCCAGAGAGATGCACGTGGAGGGTTTGAGAGTCCCCCTGTGTTGGCAGTGTGGATGGGATTCTGAAAGGGCACCCCTCCTTTTTTACTTGGGGGGCCTGCAGCCTCACCCTGTAAACATCAATGTATTGTACTTCTTGTCTGCCATTCTGCTGGACAATTGCCAGGAAATGTGAACGTTACCTACAGTCATGCCCTGCTTTCCAAATCCCCCGTTTAACAACGAATCCACTTGACACTGAGGTTTTTGCAGTCACTTTTGCAATCTCAAAACGATGGTTTGAATGGGGTTTTTCTGCTTTGTGATGATTTGTTCCCTGCTTTGTACTTCTTATCTGCCATTCTGCTGGACAATTGCCAGGAAATGTGAACGTTACCTTTTTATGACTTGCCTCGCACACTGGAAGTTATTGTACTTTTGTCTTGGACTCTTTCCGAGTAGAGATTTCCCACCCCTACCCCCATTCTGATTGCAGCTGGTGTCCTTCCAGGAGGTGGCTATATATTTTACCCAGGAAGAGTGGGAACTCCTGAATCCGGGTCAACGAGCGCTGTACAACGAAGTCATGCTGGAGAACTATGGGACTGTGTCCTCCCTGGGTAGGAATCATTTCCCCGCCTTTATCAATAGGCACTGAAGGGCTGGTGTCCTTTTCTTGGCCATTTGCCAATCTGGAGGTTGTTGGCCCTCCAACCTACCCTGATAAGGGTTTGACCCAGAGGCAAATGGTTTCTCCCAGATTTCAGAAGGTTTTGTATCGCATGGCTGATGGCCTTGTCAACACTCTGGGCTGCTGGGGGAGAGGGCAGAAATGACCCCTGGTGGTGGACAAGAACTACCCTGAATGATCTCCTTGCCCTTGCACACTGGAAGTTATTGTGCTTCTGTCCAGGACTCTTTCTGAGTAGAGATTCCCCACCCCTACCCCCATTCTGATTGCAGCTGGTGTCCTTCCAGGAGGTGGCTATATATTTTACCCAGGAAGAGTGGGAACTCCTGAATCCGGGTCAACGAGCGCTGTACAACGAAGTCATGCTGGAGAACTATGGGACTGTGTCCTCCCTGGGTAGGAATCATTTCCCCGCCTTTATCAATAGGCACTGAAGGGCTGGTGTCCTTTTCTTGGCCATTTGCCAATCTGGAGGTTGTTGGCCCTCCAACCTACCCTGATAAGGGTTTGACCCAGAGGCAAATGGTTTCTCCCAGATTTCAGAAGGTTTTGTATCGCATGGCTGATGGCCTTGTCAACACTCTGGGCTGCTGGGGCAGAGGGCAGAAATGACCCCTGGTGGTGGACAAGAGCTACCCTGAGTGATCTCTCCTATTGATCAAGGTCTGGGTCGCTTTATAGTGGAGAGCAATCTAGGAAATTAGTGATATGTTTACAATGCTCCAACACTGGAGGCGTTCAAGAAAAATGTAACGAATTTTAAATATTCCTGCATTGAGCAGGGGGTTGGACTTGATGGCCTTGTTAGGCCCCTTCCAACTTCACTTGTCTGTGATTCTATAATATCTGGGTAGGAATCATTCCTCCCCCCCCCTCTTTATTGATAGGCACTGAAGCGCTGAGGTCCTTTTCTTGGCCATTTGCCAATCTGGAGGTTGTTGGCCCTCCAACGTATCCTGATTCTGATTTGGCCCAGAGGCGAATGGTTTCTCCCTGATTTCAGAAGGTTTTGTATCTGGCATGGCTGATGGCCTTGTCAACACTCTGGGCTGCTGGGGCAGAGGGCAGAAATGACCCCTGGTGGTGGACAAGAGCTACCCTGAGTGATCTCTCCTATTGATCAAGGTCTGGGTCGCTTTATAGTGGAGAGCAATCTAGGAAATTAGTGATATGTTTACAATGCTCCAACACTGGAGGCGTTCAAGAAAAATGTAACGAATTTTAAATATTCCTGCATTGAGCAGGGGGTTGGACTTGATGGCCTTGTTAGGCCCCTTCCAACTTCACTTGTCTGTGATTCTATAATATAGGTAGAGGAAAGCTAACAACAAATTTGATCAGATGCTACCTAAGGGGCTCATTATTGAACCTGCTTTGTGATGGTAGTGAAGGCCATTTGAGATGGGCACGAATCACGGTTCATTGCAGTGCCCACACAGGTGTTCTGTGGGCGCCAGATGCTTCCCTCCCCCACCAGTGCGTGGTATCCATGGAACACCTCGGTAGGCGCCAAACCAGGCTGAACCACAGTTCATGCCCGTCTAACAGTGATTTGCCTTGTCCACCACAGATAAGGACAAAGCACAGTCCGTCTCGCAAGGCAGTTCAAACATTGAATATGGGAATCCAGAGAATGTGGTCACGGCTGCAACCAGTATACAATGTTCCATGTCCTAGATCCACTAAGGCTTTTGAAGTTGAGCCCTCTTATTGCATCCAGAACTTCATTTGGTCAAATGCTCAGAAGATACATCATCCAGTAGCTGCCAGCATAAGGCATGCTTTTAATCGCTGGTGTTCTCTCAGGCTGGAAGGGGACTTTGCCTCTTCTTCTAGGACAGGTCTTCCTCCCTCTCAGGCTGAGGTCCCTGAACCCTAGCCTTGAAGGCCCAGGGTCTCTGATGACCTTCTAGCCCTGAACGTTTGAGCTGGTCCTTGGAAAAAGATGATGGCCAAAGAATTGTGAGTTGTTGTAGGTTTTTTTTCAGCCTGTTTGGCCGTGTCCTTAAGGTTTTTCTTCCTAACGTTTCGCCAGTCGCTGTGACCGGCATCTTCAGAGGACAGAAGTCAGAACTCTTGACTGTGCTCTGATAGCTCTTGGTGTCAGTGCATGACTGTAGTAGTGAACTGGGTGTCAATGAAGAAACTGAAATATAATCCAGACAGGCTAAAGTTACTGTAGGGGTGAACAGTTTTCTAGAGACTGATCGTATTGGCCATGATGAGAAAAATAATTTAAGCATTCCCTAGCTTCTAGTGTAGGTCACCTGCGGATTGGTTTAATGGGTGAGTAATAACATCAGTCAATAAATAAAAAGATGGATTAGTAGCAGGCGGGCTCCGAATGGCTGAATACTTTGTAATTTCTTTCTGTGTTTCTTTCTTGGAAAGAAATTCCCAAACCAGACCTCATTTCCTGGCTGGAAGTAATAGACGATCCATTTGTCCAGGACTCTGAGGAGCAGAAGCGATGGTCAAGGACCTGCTTAGGTATGTGTTATGGGACCACCAAGGGCATTTTGCAGTTTTTTCCCTTTGTGGTTATTTCTTTGTTTGTTTTATTTTGAAGTGGTACAAAGTCGCAACATGCACCAATATGAAATTAAACGTTTGTGCTTTATATATGCATCTGTAAACAAAATTGCCTTGGTACATGTTCATAAGGTGGATAATACAGAGTCTGAGTTACTCTAACCAGTGCTGGGGAATTATATCTGGAAAAAAATGCTATGATTTGTGACAATTAGTGAAAAAGGCTTTGCCTTGTTCAGGTGATTTATCCATAAAAGTAATCAGCCAAATTTTGAATGCCCACTCTGATATGGAAATAATCTTGCAGTTGTCTGGTGTTGTGTGTAGTAGACAGAGTGACAGAATAGAACTCTGGAGAACAGGGTTCAAATCCTCACTCAGCCATGGAAACTCACTGGGGGAGTGGAACTGGTAAAACCTCTCCTTAAATATCTCACTTGCCCTGAAAGCCCTTTGGGGGTTGCCATAAATTCTGATTTGACAGCACATAACTAACAGGAACGTGGTGGCACTGCGGGTTAAACCACCAAAGCCTCTCTGGTGCAAGGTCGGAAGACAAGCAGTCGTAAAATCGAATCCATGTGATGGAGAGAGATCCCGTTGCTTGTCCCTGTTCCTGCCAACCTAGCAGTTATACAGCATGTAAATGTGAGTAGATAAATAGGTACCACCCCGGTGGGAAGGTAACGGTGTTCTGTGCCTAGTCGTGCTGGCCATGTGACCACAGAAACTGTATATGGACAAAACGCTCGCTCTACAGCTTGGAAAACAGGGATGAGCACCGCGCCCTAGAGTCAGACACGACTGGACTAAATGTCAAGGGGAACCTTTACCTATCTAACTAACTAAACTTCCAATTAGCAGCGGTCACTGCTGGTCATGCATCAAGTGTGAAACCAAAAACATGTCTGAAATCTTGTTAATTAGCAGCACTTTACTGCGATTTACATGATTTCACAGAAGGATGCATAAACTGCCACAGGATTTCGAACTAAATGTGTGTGACTACTCTGGATTTATCCACAGTCCTGGGTATGTTTTCCTTGATATAACACTAATCCCAGGGTGCCTTCTGAAAACTAACTGATTGTTGATAAAACTATTATCAGCTGATCATTCCAGATGTTAATGATCATTGTCAGTTTGAGAACCCATCACAAATGTTATTGTCACTGTATTTTTGCTGTTTTACTTGATACCTCCCACCACCGCATCCACTGGGTACATAAACCTGTGGCCCTCCTCACTCTTACCCTCTGTGTGCCCGAGGAAGTGGATTTTAAGATTCACCCAATTATTTTACTGTAATCTTTGTGGATCAAATCTACGTCTTCAGACACCCGTTATTTTGGGAAGATAATAACGACAAGTGATAATGCGTACATGCAAATACCTTTTTTGTGTGAACATTCAGAGCTACACCACATAAACCTGTGGCCCTCCTCACTCTTACCCTCTGTGTGCCCGAGGAAGTGGATTTTAAGATTCACCCAATTATTTTACTGTAATCTTTGTGGATCAAATCTACGTCTTCAGACACCCGTTATTTTGGGAAGATAATAACGACAAGTGATAATGCGTACATGCAAATACCTTTTTTGTGTGAACATTCAGAGCTACACCACACATTTTTTGTGTGAACATTCAGAGCTACACCTCTTATTAAAGATGCTTAACATTAGAGCACTGAATCATGCAGTGTATGGAAAAGTTACTTATTTGGTTGTCAGCTCCCAGAATATTCAGGGCGTGCTGGTTGTGATGGTCTAAGAACTGTGTTTCAGAAAAAGCAGCTCAGCTGCATTGTGGAGTAACCTCAAGGTTGAAATCCTTGGTTAGCTATGAAACCTTGTCCTCTAGCCAATACTTCTAGTTGATCCTACATCACATAATTGTTTTAAAGATCAAAGTATAAATAAATCACATTTGCCACCAAAGGCTTCTAAGAAAAAATTCTGAATAAAAACAGACTGGCTAAAACATTTAGACCACAGTTGCTCAAAGTCTGATACTGTGAGAGAGATGATGACATTTAAAGCCTTCCGCTTTGTATAGGACAGTGGTTGCCATGCTTTTTCGACTTGTGACCCCTCCTAGCCAATACTTCTGGTTGATCCTACATCACATGATTGTTTTAAAGATCAAAGTATAAATAAATCACATTTGCCACCCAGGGCTCCTAAGAAGATATTCTGAATAAGAACAGAGTGACTAAAACATTTAAACCACAGTTGCTCAAAGTCTGATACTGTGAGAGAGATGATGACATTTAAAGCCTTCCGCTTTGTATAGGACAGTGGTTGCCATGCTTTTTCGACTTGTGACCCCCTTTTCTAATAGCCAAGTAACTTGTGACCCCTCCACCACATATACATAAAACGGCATTTGTAATGGGGTAAAGGCATCCCTAGAAAGTAGAGGCTTCTTTCTCCCCCAAAGGGCCTGTTTCTCCTATATATAGTAACTTTGATATCTGGTTCCAAAAGATCAAGGAAGAAATTATTTAACAAGAGCTACAACACATGTAGGGGGACACCTCCTCCAGAAAACACTTTGCAAACCCCTTGAAGGTCCAAACCCCTCAGCTTGGGAAACACTGGAATAGGAGGTGCTTGCTTTAAAGGTCTGTTGCCATTTATTGTTCTTTTTGTGTGTGGTCATGGTGGGGTCATTCCTTTAGAGATGCAAGTAAAAGGATGTTGTTTCTCTTTTTTTTCCCCCAAATCAGATGATTGTGAGTACAGTGAGAATTATCGGGAGCTGGCTGTGTTGCCTTTGGGGATTGAATCCTCTTGTTCTCAGGGGACTGACCCTTCTGAACTCCAGATCTCACAAAAAGACCACAGAGTAAAGAAAATGGAAGAGGTTTCGAGCTTTTCTGAGATGCTGAAAAGTTATCTAAAATTAAGTAGACATTTCAGAATCCAGACAGAGGAAAAGCCATATGACTGGATGGAGTCTCCAAAGAGTTTCAGTGACCATGAAAAAATCTACAAACAACTAGGAATTGGCAAAGAAAGGAAACAGTATAAATGCACTGAGTATGGAAAGAGCTTCAGAAACAGTTCAGACCTTACTGCCCATCCAACAACGGACATACAGGACAAATCCCATAAATGCATGAAGTGTGGGAAAAGTTTCCATATGAGCTTCAGCCTTACTTTCCATCTAAGAACTCACACAGAGGACAAACCGTACGAATGCATGAAGTGTGGAAAGAGCTTCAGGGATGGCAGAACACTGGCTGACCATCAGATGACTCACCCTGGAGGGAAACCATTTAAATGCACAATATGTGGGAAAAGCTTTGCTCGGAATTCACACCTTACTAGACACCTAACGACTCATACACGTGAGAAAACCTACAAATACATGCAGTGTGGAAAGGATGCAAATGCAGACTCCGGCACAACTTGCCATCCAAGGACTCACGCAGGTGAGAAACCTTACAAATGCAACGAGTGTGGAAAGAGTTTCAGTCAGAAAGGGAACGCCAATAAGCATCAAAGGGTTCACACAGGGGAGAAGCCCTATAAATGTAAGGAGTGTGGAAAGACCTTCAGAGAGAAAGGACACCTTAAGGTGCATGAACGAACTCACACGGGGGAGAAACCTTATAAATGTATGGAGTGTGGCAAGAGTTTCAGCGACAGCGGACCACTGACTAGACATCAAAGAACTCACACAGGGGAAAAACCATATCAGTGTATGGAGTGTGGCAAGAGTTTCAGTCAGAAAGAACATCTCAAGCTGCATCAAAAGAGATCACATGGGGAGAAACTGTATGAATGTGTGGAATGTAGCAAGAGCTTCACTAAGAAAGGGCAGCTGAAGGAACACCAGGAGAAGTCACACAAGAGGGATGTCATATAAATGCAGGCAGTCTGAAGGAAATTTTAGGGAGAAAATAAATCTTAGTCAACCTCAGCTCACTTGCATAGGAGGAGGGAACATCAAAACACAGCGTGTGGAAATAACTTCCATGCAAGTTTGCCTTACTTCTCTCAAAGAAGTCCCCCCCTCCATGGAAAAAAAACTGTAAATGAGTATAGAATAGGAAAGAGTTTTACTGGCAGCATAGCTGGATCCAGATGTAGTTCTAGGTGAAAGTTTAGAAAGAAATTATTTTTTAAAAAATTCTTCGTAGGATTATTATTTTGAAATGTACAGTTCTGTGTTTTTGGACTACCAAGTCCTAGTAGCCTGGGAACTGCGATACAAAAATCCCCACACATCTACACACCTGTAATAGTCAACAGGTGCAGCAATTTACAGGCGACAGTATTTAGAATGGGAGTGACCATGAGAGGTGAAGATCTTGTGCCAGCTGGAAATTTAATTTAATGTTATTTATTTAAAATATTTTTATCCTGCCTTTCTCCTTAAGAAGGACTCAGTTTTAGCATATTCCTAATGGTATAAGTTTTTTGTAGTCCAGCGTCCACTTGAGGAGGTGCCTGAGGCACTGCTTTTTCACTAATACACAACACAAAAGGAGGGAGGAAAATGGGAGAATGGTTTAACCGAAAGTTGTCAGAATTCACCTGGGTCACACTAGGCTCTCCCACTGAAATTTTAAATACCATCGTCTGAGGGTTGTTCTCCCACTGGTTTCTGGCTGGCATCAGTAGGCCTTGTGGTGATTTTGCATGAGTAGTAACAGGAACAGAAATGTTCATGAGGTCTGTTTCCTGTCATGATGTCTGTGTTCCGTGACCGATTTCGCTGGTGAGCAAATGTTTTATATTCAATAACTCTTTGCCGGGAAGGACAGATTCGCTCTTCTAGTTCTTTTATCAATTTATTTTTAATAGACAAAGGCAAACCAAAAATCCACACATCTAAAAATACATTTAAACATCTCATAGAAGAAACTTGAAAAATCTACATACATAGTACTTCCCACTGTTCTCCTAGTTCTAGGAGAAAGAAATATTATCTGGTATTCTTATTGTATATTGGCTGGTAAATGAGCTTTGAAGTGATTCAGACTGAGATATTTAGGGCGGTAAACATGAAATAAAAAAATGGTCTTTGTTTTGTTTACAGGCTGCCTTTTGCCTAATAAGTGGCCCCAAGGTGGTTGACTTAAGCTTTCTGCTCTCCATTCTTAAAAGTCTCCATTTGACCCTGTTGGTCATGTTTTCTTTGATTACGAGATCCTTGCCCAACAGGAAGTGCTGGCTCAATGGTTTAGGTCTATGGCTGTGGAGCCAGAGGTTGGGAGTTCAATTCCCCGCTCTGCCTCCTTGACATGGACTGGATTCGATGATCTATAGGGTCTCTTCCAGCTCTGCAATTCTGAGATGATGGTGGTGGTGGTGGTGGTAATTATAGGATATCTGCTGCTTTCTCCCAACCTAAGATTTCCAGACTCCTCTCAAAGGCATAGGAGGCTCATGCAGCTGGAATAAAGACTGCAGGTGAAAATTGTGTCCGACTTGATTGCACCCACTCCCTGCTTCCCTCTTGAAAAATCATCTCTTCCCAAGTCCACCACTCTGCAAATGCCTTTCTCCTCATTTGCTCGCTCTTGAATTCCTGTTTTGTCATCTGAATGCTGATCATTTCCTTTCTCGACCTCATGGGTTGTTTGGATTCTTATTCTATAAAGGAAAATGACCATTAAGAATTTAAAAGAGGCCTTCTCCCCCTCTCGCTGAGATCCTTTTCTGTGTGCTGACACCTTGGGCTATAATCTTTCCTTATGAAAACCCTCATAAGGTTCTGGCTTCCATGGGCTTTGGGGAAAAGAAACCACAGGATCCATTCTTCTTATTTTTTGAAAGAATTGGGCTGAAAAGAGGAACAGCTCTTCACTAGAGATGAAAAATCCTTTTCTTGTCCTTCACCTCCTCCTCATGTTTTGGCTTGAAGCGCCACAGCTCCACATCCCTGGCCATACTGGGGAAGGAAAGAACATCTCTAGCAAATCCTTTCCTTAGTTAAAGTTTCTAAACATATTATAGTGGAGTCTCGACTTACGTATGGCTACACTTAAGTACTTTTCGACCTCCGTACCTCTCTGGCCACAAAGTTTCACTTCGACTTGCGACCGGAGAATCGACTTATGGACCTGAAGAGGGAGGCGGGGAAAGCGCCAAGTTTTCAAACATGGTAAGTCTTGCAAATGTAGGTGTGCTTTCCAGGGCTTCTCCGCCGCCGTGGGAGGCCTCTTGGAGGTCCTCCCCCACTGCCAATAGTGCCTCTGAAGCACGATCGGCGGCAGGCGGGGACCTCCGAAAGGCCTCCCATGGTGGCAGAGAAGCCCTGGAAGGCATCCGGGAGTCCGCCGCTGCTGGGAGCCGAGCCACGCTGGGCAATCCTGACCATGCTCAGACTCCTGGATTTCCCCCGTCGCTGCTCGGCTCCCAGCAGCAGTGGCAGCGGGGGAGGTCCAGGAGTCCGAGCATGGCCGGGATCGCCTGGCACGGCTCCCAGCGGTGGCGGCAGAAGTCCAGTACTCCGAGCATGGCTGGGATTTCCCGGTG